GGATGAGTTCTTACCTAGTAAACTGCAGCGTCTCCTGGTGCCCATACCACACTGACATTCTGTTCCGGAAGTCCAGCAGGCCTCCCCTCCTAACCCCAATGTGGCAGCTCTGGGGTGTCTCATTCTGAATTTGTAATCTCACAAGGGAAGTGAAGAGAGTTATAGAGGGTGTGTGTGTGTGTGTGTGTGTGTGTGTGTGTGTGTGTGTGTGTGTGCACGCCCTGAGATAGCATGCCTCCAGACATGCTTTTCTGTCCAGAGCTGGGAAGCCTGGTGGCCTTCTCCCAGAGGGGTCCTAGCTGATGATGGGGTCAAGGAGCAGAGCTGTAGGGAAGGTGCGCTCTGCTTTGGGCAGTGAGCAGCTTCTCCAGGCCTATCAGATCCAGAACTCTGAGAAGAGCAGCATCCGTCCCTCTGGGCTTCCGCTCCAGCTCACTCGGTCTCTGCCTGTGCTGGGCAGGATAGGAGTTGCTTGGCTCTGCAGCTGCTTGCTCCAGGCCTTGAACAGCTGATGCCATCTCTGGTCTTAGTTTGTGTGCCTGTAAACCGGGAACCTTGATTTAGCTGCATCCATGGGTTCTCGGTCCAGCTCCCCTTGCCTTGAGAGCCTCCAGAGGCCCCTAGCACACGAGCAGGCTAGCTTTGAGGAGTTCAGCCAAGGCCTGCTCTGTCCAGCCAAGCCTGGAAGACCAGCGACATCAAGGGAAAACCAGTGTGCCTGAGCCTGGAACACTGACGGCCTCTGGGTTCCAAAGAAGCCGGGCTCTGGGACTCCACGGTAAGTGGCAGGGACACAGGGCCTGTCCTGGGTCCCAGCCTGCCCCTTGTGTCATTCATAGGGCCCGACACTGCGGCTCTCACCACTCTTCCTGCTCACAGCTGCTCCATCCTCCCGTGCGTGGCCCTGGGGCCTTCCCTGTCTTTTTCCCTCTGTGCCTGAGGATCTGCCTCCTCACAGCACCTGCTTCCCAACGGCTTCACTCTGGGCCCCATCCTTCCTGCCTGCCCTCATCTGAGTCTCTTCTCAGGGCCAGCCTGCAGCCCCACAGCTCTCAGCCTCCGTCCTGGGATGGGGTCTCACGAGCCTAGCACATTTGTTAGTGGCAGGTGAAGTCAGGTCAAAGGCTGTAATGAGGAGTTTTCTTTCAAGTGCCTGGTGGACATCTGTGGGAGTCCAGCTGCTTGAAGGGCTGACCTTTGAGTGGACTGTCCACCACGGGCAGGCAGTGGCCTTGACTCCATGTGTAATGAAGGGCCTGGTAAGAGTGCAAGTGGAGCAGACAGACCTGAGTGTGCACGTGAGTGTGCTCTGTTTCGTTACAGTTTTGTGTGGGGATTATAGCTAAGGCTTCGGCTTACTAGACAGGCGCTCTGCTACTGAGCTGAGGCCTCACCTCAGCCCTTC